TAATGGCCAAGAGCTGACCCCCCTCTATATAAACTACGGGTTTAGCACTCTCCTATGATGAAAATGAAATGAAAGAACTCGAGCCTCGGGCCGGCGAAGCGTATGGGCACGTTTTCAGTATATCTCTGCTGCCCCTGCCCACCTAGCAGTAAAACTATGTAATTGTGTGTTAACCAGTTTTTGTGAGTCGCAACCAGGGAAAAAAATGAAATGCAAATAAGTTAAAAACGCCAGTCCAGCTTGAAGTGATAGCCTGGGCAAAATGCCAATGTGTAAGACAACTCCAGAGCTGCTGCAAGTAATCACGTGTTGGTAAAGGTATCCACATACTGCGGTGTATATAATAATGGTAAAAATATTAAAATAAAAGACTTATCCCACCACTCGTGTTCTCACCTTGTTGCATTCTAACGCTCACACAAATATCAAAGCCACAAATTCTGAAAAACATTTTAAATAACATTGCTCAAAGGATCTGTGTAAAATTTGAAGTCTCTATGTAAACTGATAATTGATAAAATCATGAATTGGTAAAATCCTTTAACGAAACGTCCTAATAAAATACCATTGCGTGCAGCCAGCAGCAACAGCCTGGTTGATCAGGCTCTGATCCACCAGGAGGCCTGGTCACAGACCGGGCCGCGGGGGCGTTGACCCCCGGAACTCTCCAGGTAAACTCCAGGCACAAGCAGGTTCAGAAATATTATCTGCATTATACAACTTTTGAAAAGTTATGCCATTTGTGTGTAATATAATGATTAACATCATTATATTCACGACAGGAAGCAAGAAACCGCTATGGGTTACATAGCATTTAGGGAATGGGAGACAGTCACATTTAATGTAAGGAATGGGAGGGGTAGTTCCAATTCTTTGGATCAAGAGTTCTTCATGGGCATCAAGGACATCCCTTGAAGGGAGGTCATTGATGCCGATATGTGATACCGACAGGTTATTGAAGAAAAAAAAAGCAGGAAATACAAATACTTAAGACATTTTACTGGAAACGTTTCGGTCATGGGACCTCAGTCACTCCAGACTTACCAAAGTTTGGAGTGAACGAGGACCTAGGACCAAAACGTTTTCAAGGAAATATCCTAATATTTGAATATTTTGTCTCCAACCACTTTACATGTTAACAGAATTTTGCACCTTACATATATATATAATATATATATATAATATATATATATATATATATATATATATATATATATATATATATATTATTATATATATGTATATATATATATATTATATATATATAATATTATATATATATATATATATATATATATATATATATATATATATATATATATATATATATATATATATATATATATATATAGTGTGTGTGTGTGTTGTCTTACCTATTTGTACTTATTTGTGGTTGCAGAGGTCGATTCACAGCTCCTGGCCCCGCCTCTTCGCTGGTCGCTACTAGGTCCACTCTCCCTGTTCCATGAGGTTTATGAAAATGAAAATGTTTTATTTCCTTGCAAAACTTGTAATATGTGGTTTACATATTATAAAATATTAATTACAATGATCGTATCTCTTCTTAAAGCTGTGTATGGATCCTGCCTCCACTACATCACTCTCCAGATTGTTCCACTTCCTGTCAGTCTATAGCTGAAGAAATACTTCCTGACGTTCCTGGGATTCATTTGAGACTTCAGCTTCCAGTTAAGACCCCTTTTTGCTGTGTTCCACATCTGAAGCATCCTGTCCCTGTCCACTTTGTCAATTCCTCTCAGTATTTTATATGTTATTATGTCCCCCCTATCTTTCCTGTCCTCCAGTGTCGTCAAGTCGATTTTCCTTAATCTTTCCTCGTTGGACATACCCCTAGCCCCGGAACTATTAATGTTGCAAACCTTTGCACTTTCTTTAATTTCTTGACGTGTTTGACCAGGTGTGGGTTCCATACTGGTGCTGCATACTCCAATTTACGCCTGGCGTACATGGTGTATAGTCTTGAACGATTCCTTACTAAGGTGTCGAAACGCTGTTCTTAGGTTTGCCAGGGGCCCACATTCTGCAGCAGTTATTTGGTTGATTTGCGCCTCAGATGTGCTCGGTATTTTATTCACCCCCAAGATTCTTTTTCTTGAGTGAGGTTTGCAGTCTTAGTCTTCCTAACCTGTACTCTGTCTGCGGTCTTCTTTGACCTTTCCCAGTCTTCATGACTTTGCACTTGGTGGGGTTAAATTCCGGGAGTCAGTTGTTGGACTAGGCTGTCCAGATCCCTTTGTAGTTTTACTTGATCCTCATCCACTTGAATTCTCCGCATTAGCCTCATGTCGTCTGCCGTCAGGGACACCTCTCTGAATCTATCCCTTCAATCATGTCATTCGCATATACCTGAAACAAGCACTGGCCCTAGGACTCACCCTTGTGGAATCCCGATCGTCCCAGGCACCCACTCTGACACCTTGCCACGTACCGTCACCCACTGTTTCCTTCCTGTCAGGTATTCTCTGATCCATTGGAGTGCCTTTCCTGTTATTCCTGCCTGCTCCTCTAGCTTTTGCACTAATCTCTTGTGTGGCACTGTGTCGAAAGCCTTCTTACAGCCCAAGAAAATACAGTCTACCCACCCCTCTTACTTCTGTCAGCTTGTCGTAAAACTCCAGTTGGTTTGTGACACAGGCTTTCCCCTCCCTGAAACCGTGCTGGTTATCGTGTATAAGCTCATTCCTTTCTAGGTGCTCCACCAATCTTTTCCTTATAAGCTTCTCCATGACTTTGCATATATATGTCAGTGACACTGGCCTGTAGTTTAGTGCTACCTGCCTGTCTCCTTTCTTAAAATTGGGAGTTTATATTTGCTGTCTTCCACACTTCAGGTAGTTGCCCTGTTTCGATAGATATGTTGAAGATTGTTGTTAGTGGCACACAGCACGTCTGCATCCTCTCAGGACTCAAAGAGAGATGTCTGGTCCTACCGCCTTCGATATATCTAGTTCACTTTGCAGCCTCTTGACTTCCTCCTCTGTTGTGTATAGTGTGTCCAGCACTGGGTATACCCTACCATTCCGGTTTACTGTAGTCCAGTCTGTCTCCACCGAAAATGTTCCTTAAATCTCGTTCGTGTTTAGCTCTTCATATACTTCTTTGTCGTTTCCTGTGATGTGTGTGTGCGAGTGTACTCATCTAACCTAACTGGTTGCAGGGGTCGAGTCAGTCCCTGGCCTCTGTACTCTTGTGTGTGTGTGTATTAATATTGTATTTTGGTTAATATATGTTATTCTCTTCCTGCACAGGATATAGAAACGTGTCCAGTAAATTATCTCTTAATCGGGCAAAACATCTGATCCAAAACTTCCATATGTCATTAGTTTATATTAACTAATCTCATATATCCTTTCACTCCTACAGTGTACATATTTGTGGAAGCAATCTTTTGGTAGGCTTATGTACTGAGAGTTTAATGTAATTCTTATCTTAGTGATTGAAGTGTCCTTCATTATGCTTTTAGTTGGATTATTATGACTTGCAAACTAATTTAGGCCTAATTACAAGACAAAATATAGGCTAACAGGTCTTAAAACCTAGTAGAATATCCTATAGCTCAAGGTAGCCACACAATGTAGTAATATTAATTTTTTATTATAGTAAACATCTACTATAACTATTGCGCCTAATAATCTCTTTATTTACTACAAGTACATGTACAAGGTATACGTATAGGCCTAGCCGACATACTACTGTATAGAAAGCCACTTGTTATGCATAGCATTTCAGGCAAATTAGGTCAGTTTTGTCCCAGGATGCGACCCACACCAGTCGACTAACAAGCAGGCACCCATTTTACTGATGGGTGAACATAGACAACCGGTGTAAGGAAACACGTCCGTTGTTTCCTCCCCTTCGCCGGGAATCGAACCCGGACCCTCAAAGTGTGAAGCAAGAGCTTTTGCCACCAGGCCACGGGACGTAGCATAGTTTTGCTCAATTTAAAAGATAATACAACACACATTTTTGTATATATTTCTATATGTCTTACATATACCGGATAAATTGTGCATTTACAGTTTTCTCTAACTTTCTCTTGACTGAGTTCATCATGTGTGTTTTAAGTTTGCAAGGTATGCTTGTTGGAAAGTTATTGAGATTTATTCCGGTTAAATTTACAGATGATTTTACATATTTCTGTTTTAAATTTCTTCGAGGTTTACTTGAAAGTACATTGTTATAGGCATACTATTATTACATTCACGGGGAGCACTAAACCCGTGGGATTCATACCTCGCCTGAAAACAGGGGAAGATAGACAGTCAGATTCCATTCAAGGAAGTGGAAAGTGGATCTAGTTCTGTGGATCAAGAGCCCTTTATCAGCATTAAGGAGCCTTCCTTAAAGGGTATATATACACACAGTGGTAATTAATTATTAAAATTAAACTAGGACAACCAAGGACTGGATTTCATTCCCCTATATTGTTTCACGCATTAGCAATTGTTTTCATGTGTATGTTACTGTATGTATAAGTTTAGTAAATTTAAAGTAAGATGTCATATTTGTATCATCAGTGTAAAGAGATATATGAAGTCAGAGTATCAGTATAGAAATTTCAGGCCCAAGTTCATAGCTATTGCTCCTACTGTCGCTCCCATTACCAATGAGCTGTTTCTCATGATGTTGGTCAACAATGAAAAAAAAAATTGCATTCTTTTATCAACATATATTGACTAAAATTGCATATGATATTTGTGTGTTACCAAGGCAAAGCAAATACTGAGAATAAGCTGAAAGTTATGTCTTTAGTACGTCCGTATATAAAAGCTATCGTTCAGCATATTTAACTTTATTATGTGAATGAGTGAAGCAAAAAATAATATTTATTAACTTTGGCGGGAATATTAAGCTCAATTGGCGGGGAAATTCTGGAGGGACAGCGGGTTATTCAAAGTTTTCCCGGGAGCGTTACTGATTGGCTGGCAGACTCTTTCTCCGTCCGCTGATTCGTCCATTTAAAACTGACGTCATAGGACCGGGCCAGTAAAAAAAGACGCTCTGCGCGCGCCATCGGTAACAGTAGTGATAGTGCAGTGGTAGTGAGTACAGGCACCATGGTGAGTCCTTGCGAGTTTTTATGAGAGATACATGTGCGATATCAATGAAACCTTCACATTTCTGTAGAAGGAAGTGCGTTGCGTTGTCTGACGAAGTTTGAAGGCTCAACTCGTGGTTTTAATGGGTTAAATCTTTGTTTATTTCAGGCTGGTGGTAAGGCAGGCAAGGACTCCGGCAAGGCTAAAGCCAAGGCAGTGTCACGCTCGGCCCGGGCGGGGCTACAGGTTAGTTACGGATTATTGCCGGCCCTTTCGTGTGGCTTTTAATGAAAACCACAATATTATCTTGTGATTTGTAAAGAAAATTTACTTGATCAGAGGTAAATGGGGTATATGACGTTTAAGATGGCGGCGTGGAAACAGTCGTACCAACAAGTGTAACACAGAATCTTATTTCAGTTTCCTGTGGGGCGTATCCACCGGCACCTCAAAAACAGGACGACCAGCCATGGGCGTGTGGGCGCAACAGCTGCTGTCTACAGTGCTGCCATTCTCGAGTACCTAACCGCTGAGGTATTTTGGACATTTTTATGTTGGTACTCTTGCCCTGGCCTCCCTGAGTACCGGCATTGTTACATTTATATTACATATTCAATTTTGCTGCTCTTCTTGTAGTCTATATTGACTTTAGATTATAGATTTTAAGTGAAGGGCCCTAATATTTTGAATTTTAGGGTGCATGAAGTAATTTTAGGTAGCAATAGTGGATAATTTTGAATGTGGCGGCTTGGGTGGTGGGCGCGGGAGAGTGGGGTGGGTGGTGGGTGGGAGGGTAGAGGAGGGATGGCGGGCGCGGGAGAGTCCATTGTGGCGTGGCGCTGCTGCCACTTCTCCCGCCAACTGGGGTTTTCGCGGGAAAATGCAAATCTGTAGCATCAGCATTGCCAGCTTACAGCTTTAGCTCTGGATGAAATAGACCTCGGCTGACAACGTTTTATAGACAAGCTGCAGTATTCCTCTATTGTGATGTGTAGCTTCATTGAAGCTATCTTAAGTAGCCTTTAATTAATAAATATAAACTTTAAAAGAGAAGACAGGCTTCTAATTCTTAAAAGTACTTTTATGAATTTAGTATAACCACCTTGTATTCATCTAGATTTCTTGCAAGAAATAATTTGGGCATAACCCAACACATTAATCAAATAAAGTACTACATTAAATATGCAGTAAGGATTATATAATTTCTGAACTTTTCGAAAGTTAAATTTAAAAATTAGGATGCTCAGTGATTAAGACTGCCTCCAGGATGGTTTTGTGCATTTTTGTGAATATTTATTGAATAATTTATACCAGATATACAAATAACCCTGGATGAAAATCAACTGAATTTCAGGTGAATTTAAAAGGAACAGTTGGGATAAAAATAGGAATAGTAAGGTGGTGGTGGGGACCTGTTCTATGTCCCGTGTCATGGCTCTCCCTCCCTCATTCAGTCTACATAATAGTTGAGGATACAGATCTCAAGTTTCAGTTAAAAGTAGATGTGCAAATTAGGGCACCACAGAGCTTAAGATTAAGATAGTTGGAATTTTTAACCCTAGGTTAGCTACCCAGGATAACCCAATAGTCTGTGCTTCAAGATGGTTTAGATCAATGAATCTAAATGTACCAAAGTGTATTGGTCAGTTTATCATATTTGTCTACTGTTGAAAAAGTGCTCCTGTATGACTTAAATAAAACTGGGCCAACCCTATTCCTAAAATAGGTAAGATTTTGTTTGTATTTTTAATGTAGGGTTAGCCACCCAGGATATCCCAGTAATGTCAATGTCATTGGGGGACTTAGTTCCATCGGGGATCCTTTAATCTTGTCCTCCAGAATGTGATCCACACCAGTTGACTGACATCCAGGTGCCTACTTACTGCTAAGTGAACGGGCAGCAGGTGTAAGGAAACTCGCCCAACATTTCCACCCATTCTGGGGATCAAACCATGTTCATTTGGTGTGTGAGCAGAGTGCACTTTACCAAACCACAGGACCCACTAATGTCGTTGAAAGTTTTCATAGAAAAAATTCAGCAGTGTTATGTAAATGGGGACAACCATGGTTATGTAAAAAAAAATTCTTACAGCAAACTAGGCCATACAAATGTCTGTCATTACCTAAATTATTATAGCATGTGGTTATATTAAGTCCTGCACCCTACTGTCTTAACTTATTTAAGTAATGTCAGACTGCCAGGATCAAATGGATAGGCTCTGGGAGACTGTTCTAATCCTGGGAAAAGAAAATCACTGCTGTTAAACTAACACAAAATTCATTCATTAAAACTGACACTTGGATATTCTCAATTTTGGTAATCTAGGTTATAAACTTTTTAGTGTTGTCTTAAGTCTACTTGGCTGTATATAAAAGAAAAGTTCTGAAACTCTTGAGTAAGGCTCTTAGATTCTCCTTATCTGTTACCTTGAGTAGCTAAGAGAATTGGACAAATGAGAAAGGTGGTGTCTGTTAAAAATCAGATCTCAAATTAGCTGAAGACAGGTTCAAGGACTGTCTAACCATAAGTTATTAAGTGACATTTAAGCTTCATAGGTTGGCGAATTTCAATGGTCTTGCCAAGTTTGTCGGTGAACTTTGCAGATAGAAAAAAAATACCAGACTTCTGACCATCTGTAAGTTCGTAACAGGTGAGATCACTGGTATGAAGTAGAGTTGGGTTTGAGAAGGACCTGCCTAGAATGGGTCACTGCCTTTTTTAACTAACTACATATTTTAAGAGCACCGTTGGAAAGGTTGGAGGGAGAGGTTTAAGGTTTTGAGTGGTAAGAGCTTGGACATCCAACAGGCTTGAGAGTTAGGAGTGAGTGTATGCAGGTGGTTTTTATGATTTGACATGTTGGAGTGTGAGCAAGGTAACGTTGATGTCAGAGTTCAGGGAAAACTGGTTTGGATGTGAATCATGGAAGTGGGAAGTACAGTGTCTGTACTCTGAAGGAGTGGGGATGTTTGGAGAATTTGAACTGTGGTGTCAGCACTTCTGCCAAGACAGTGATGGTAAATGTTAGATCATCCTGCCTTGATGGGAAATGGCTGAAGTGTTTAAAAAAACATTGATAGTTGTAGGGATTTTTTTACTTTGAACATTAATAATTTGGTATTTTTTCTGATAACTATTGTGTAGGTGCTATGTTGAGGCATTGAGGGTGGGGGGCTGGCAGGTGTTGGTAAAAAATATTGTGCAATTCAGATTTAATTTCCCCACCTTACCAGATGAAGTAAGATGTAAATACACAAGCAAAAAGGCAATTTTTACTAAATATCCTTTTTATTTACAGGTTCTTGAGTTGGCTGGTAATGCATCAAAGGATCTGAAAGTGAAGCGTATTACCCCTCGCCATCTGCAGTTGGCTATCCGTGGTGATGAAGAATTAGATTCACTCATCAAGGCGACCATTGCTGGAGGTGGTGTTATTCCTCACATCCACAAGTCTCTCATTGGAAAGAAGGGCTCGCAGAAACCTGTATAAATGCTCTAGTTATTGTACATTGTCCACATGTGCTTTGGCCCAGGGACTTCACTACCATGGATGCGCAGTCATTGTATTGATGCTTGTATGTCTATGGCCAAGGAGGTCCCTGATAAAGGGGAGTAGCCATTAAGGTTTTCTTTAATCAAAGTGGTCTACCTCCTAACACCCCCTTCCCTGATTATCCAACCCTGAAAGACTTGAGAATTGCTCTACCTCTAGGAAGGTTTTTTTAGACACTGCCTGAAAGATGTGAAGCTTGGTTGTAAGGGATCATGTGGGGGGTTGTTGCATTGCTCAAGGAGCTACCCACTAACGGTGGTTAAGAGCTTTGCAATTAAGTTTTCATTTTTTCTACTATTTCTCTTAATACGTATTTAACTTTTAACATTTTGTTTAATCGAGTTTTATCAGAGGTTTTATTCTGTTCAGTTTAGATTTTTTGATAAGGATGCATTTTGAATTCTATCTTAATTTTCTAAAAGTTGAAAAGTAAGTGTCATGTATTACTTAAAAGTACAATTTTCAATGTTTTGATAATGTGTAGAGTAAGTATAACTATACATATTGTAATTAATGTGTTCTCTACAATATAATGTATATTCATTTTTTAAAGAGTTGTATTTATTCATTCCTGTTTATTTAATCATATTTTGACTGAATAAAATATTTTAAGACAATTTTAGAGCAGGCATTTTGACTGCATTACTGGTTGCCAGTAAACCTTCATAAATGTAGCTTTCATTACAGTGTAATGGTTAATAAATAATTGACTTGTAAACAAATAAGTTATTAAATATTTAAAATTGTTTTACTAGTGGAATTTCATGGCATTAATTTTTTGTGGAAAATTGTACTATATTTTCCATTGGCATCAGTTAAGCTTTGCTAATGTAGTTTTCAGAAAGGACTGAATGCCTAAGAAAATCTTGCAATTGGTGATGCTGTTTTGGGTAAGTTGCTTAAGCATGTATTGAACTATTCAGGGTGTTTTAAATCTGGTAATTTTTCAATGCTGCCTTATAATGCAGTCCATGCTTAATTAGTAACTAGTTAAATAAATAAAAACTGCTATTTTGTCATGAATGTGAACTATTTGGTCATTGGGCTAAAATATTTGTCTTCATTTGAACTAATATATGGTTTTTAATTCCAATGTACAAAAAAAAAAAAATTTCCTTACACTTCAAAATCTATTTGAGGTAATGCAGCACAAGGTTGAAAATGAAATTGTACCAGAGGTATAGAAGTATAATGACACTGTTCAGTGTATCATTAAAAGAAATATTGTAGTATACAGTACTAAGTAAAATTGGAAGTGTGATTTCTTTGGACTTCTTGCATTTTCAAAACTGCCATTTGCAATAGTACCATTATGTAAAACAGCAAGTACCATTATGTAAAATAAGTATGTGCTGTATGTAAACTACATACACTAGTTCACTTAAGTGCTAGTATTTTCTATACCAGATACTTTTTTTTTTTTTTTTTTTTTTTTTTTTTTTTTGAAAGGTTTGAGCAAATTTTGGTGCCTTTAAAATTGATCAACATGGGTAAATCCTTTGGATTGATTTGTTAAATTCATATTTTAAAAAATCATATGAAGAGTTCCATGAATTTTGACATTAGGTATTTTGAATATTAAAATAGTCAAAATGTTTTAATTTGTGGTAAGCAGGAAATAGTCTGAAAAATTGTAAATTTTAATGTTTTGATTAGTATTAAATTTGTAAATACCTAGGTATGCTATTACTCATTGGCCAGTGCCTACATTGAAATTGCATTATGCTAAACTCAAAGTATCATCTTTCATATGGTGCATGAGCCATTGAAGATTGAATTAGGCTGATGGGTATCCCACTTTCACACCAGCTATCTCCCACTGAAGTAGGATATGACCTGACATGAAAACCATTTATTTAATCACTGGCTTGCCAGAAACATGCTGGCAAATTAGATCCATTATCATTTCCATTGCTGATACCTTGACTATATTTGGGGTAACCTTCAGCATTGACAAGTGTTCCTTTCACATAACATTTAATATATTTAGAAGGAAGTGCCAAATACCTAGGGCTTTCCCATCAGGGAGTGGGAAGCAGTCCAATTTGCTCCAAGAGGCCCTTAATGGAGTAAAGGACCTTTCCTTGTGACTACCATTAGGCCAGTGCAGTCTGGAGGATCAAGGTTTGATCAACCAGGCTGTTATTGCTGGCTACATTCTGTTTAGAACAGGCATACTAATTTACAGGAAAAAATCGCCCATTTTAAAGTGCTAAGCCTTTAGTTTTCCCAGTGCTTGGGGTAATACAGCTAAGGTTCAGTTTTGGTAAGGAAAGCATAATTCAGATTCCTTTGTAGTTCTTGGCATCAAAACTAGTCCCTTCAAGGAAAGTACTTCCCCTTGATAACCCCTTAAGGGAGGTTCCTTAAAGCTAATGAAGGGCTCCTGATATAATCAAAACTGCTAAATTTACAAGGGTCATCAGTGCTACAGGGGTCTTGCTGTATAGTCCTTGTGGCTTAGCACTTCTTTTTGATTATAATAATACAGGGGTCTTGTTCTAGTTAATTGGACCTGTGCTTCCCATTCTTGGATTGAACCTGAATGCCTCCCATTCTCCCAGGTGCTGTATGGCCCCTACAGCTTTAGTGTTCCCTGAAAGCAGTACTCCATTCAAGGCACTGGGATTGTCCTCCACTTCTTGATCAAATTTAATTGCCTTCCATTCCTAAGGTACTGTAAGATCCCTATGGGTTTAGAGCTTTTACTGTGTATTTTGCTTAGATAAAACTAGATTGAAGCTATTTAGAAGAGGCATACATATTTGTTTTACAGTAAAAGTCCCAAATATTTACAGCTAAACCCATAAGAGTTCAAACACTTGGGAGGCAATAAAGGTTCAATCCAGGGAAGGGAAATGGGTTAGTTATTGAATAAAGAGGCCCTTGCTGGCACCAAGGAACCATTTTATGATATTAAAGACTGAAGCTGTTTAGAACAATAGTTGATTTTACAGAAAAAATAACTTCCCATTTTAAAAAAATAGATTGACACCACATTACAATTCTTTTCAGTAGGATTCAGGAGTGTAAAGTTTGAATGTGATCAGAAGAGCCCTTTTCCCATTAATACAGGTAAATCAGAAGTGAGATGTTCTATAAAAAAAAATACCACAGGGTACTTGCACATGAGAGTAGTTCAGTGAATCCCTAATTTTGATTTGCCAGCTTTGAAAAAAAGATGCCAGTCAGTTGAAAATCACCACTGTACCAGTGTGTGTGTTGGCTTAGGAATAGCTATATGGAAAGTATATTTAAATAATTAGTAACCTTGAAACTATAGATTTTGCCACCAAAGTGGCTACATTATTGTGCACCCCATATCCATCCTGTGGATGGTACCACAAGAGCATGTGGATACACAAAAGGCCTAGGAACTATGCTTCAAAAGGGTAACAGGTGAACATTTGGATATATATCTACAGTTCGCTTATCTGTTACAAGCAAAATTAGGAAATTTGCTTAGTATATCTAGAGATTGTAAAAATTAGAGGAATAAGTTTACCGAGTATACCAGGAAAAGTGTACAGTAAGGTTATTGAAAGAATTAGAGGCAAGACAGAATGTAGGTTTGCGGATGAGCAAGGTTTTAGGGTGGGTAGGAAAGGCATATGATAGTGGATAGGGGAGCAATGTGGCAGATGTTGCAAGTATATGGAATAGGTGGTAAGTTACTAAATGCTGTAGAGAGTTATGAGGATAGTGAGACTCAGGTTAGGGTGTGTAGAAGAGGGAGACTACTACTCGGTAAAAGTAGGTCTTAGACAGGTATGTGTAATGTCACCATGGTTGTTTAATATATTTATAGATGGGGTTGTAAATTAAGTAAATGCTAGGGTGTTCGGGAGAGGGGTGGGATTAAATTATGGGGAATCAAATACAAAGTGGGAATTAAGTTACTTTTTGCTGATGATGATACTGTGCTTATGGGAGATTCTAAAGAAAAATTGCAAAGGTTAGTGGACGAGTTTGGGAGTGTGTGTAAAGGTAGAAAATTGAAAGTGAACATAGAAAAGAGTAAGGTGATGAGGGTATCAAATGATTTAGATAAAGAAAAATTGGATATCAAATAGGGGAGGAGGAATATGGAAGAAGTGAATGTTTTCAGATATTTGGGAGTTGACGTGTCAGCGGATGGATTTATGAAGGATGAGGTTAATCATAGAATTGATGAAGGAAAAAAGGTGAGTGGTGCATTGAGGTATATATGGAGACAAAAAACATTATCTATGGAGGCAAAGAAGGGAATGTATGAAAGTATAGTAGTACTAACACACTCATATGGGTGTGAAGCTTGAGTTGTAAATGCTGCAGCGAGGAGGCGGTTGGAGGCATTGGAGATATCCTGTCTAAGGGCAATGTGTGGTGTAAATATTATGCAGAAAATTCGGAGTGTGGAAATTAGGTGTGGAGTTAAAGTATTAAAGGGCTGAAGTGGGGTTGTTGAGGTGGTTTGGTCATTTAGAGAGAATGGATCAAAGTAGAATGACATGGAGAGCGTATAAATCTGTAGGGGAAGGAAGGCGGGGTAGGGGTCGTCCTTGAAAAGGTTGGAGGGAGGGGGTAAAGGAGGTTTTGTGGGTGAGGGACCCCTCAAGGAAGGTTCCTTGATGTTGGTGAGGGGCTCTTGATTTAGGGAATTGGATTTGTGCTCCAGTTCCCCGAATTAAGCCTGAATGCCTTCCACATCCCCCCCCCCAGGCACTGTATAATCCTCTGGGTTTAGCACTTCCCCTTTGATTATAATAATAATAATTGTGGGTGAGGGGCTTGGACTTCCAGCAGGCGTGCGTGAGCGTGTTAGATAGGAGTGAATGGAGACGAATGGTATTTGGGACCTGACGAGCTGTTGGAGTGTGAGCAGGGTAATATTTAGTGAAGGGATTCAGGGAAACCTGTTATTTTATATAGCCGGACTTAAGTCCTGGAAATGGGAAGTACAATGGCTGCACTTTAAAGGAGGGGTGTAGGATATTGGCAGTTTGGAGGGATATATTGTGTATCTTTATACATATATACTTCTAAACTGTTGTATTCTGAGCACCTCTGCAAAATCAGTGATTATGTGTGAGGTGAAAGTGTTGAATGATGATGAAAGTATTTTCTTTTTCTTTTTGGGTCACCCTGCCTCGGGGGGAGACGGCCGACTTGTTAAAAAAAAAAAAAAAATCTGGTAACTTATTGTCATTAATAAGATATGAAACTATAAGAATGGAATGATGCCCTAGACTGATACAGTACCATCAATTAGCTGATACGTATTGATGTCAAGTCTAAGTATCAAAATTGACTTGATACCTACCGATGCTCAGTTTTAGACTGATACCAGTACTTTGGAACCCCAATTTATAATGCTATAGAAATGCAAATTTCTCAATTTTCTTAGTTATGTTCAATTTTGAATTTATGCAGTTCTCGGGCTAGTAATTTTTTTAAGTCTTGAATTGTCATACCTATGAGCAGTGCTGTATGACCCTTGTGGGTTTAGCACTTAGTTATGATTGTGTGTGAGATGAACAGCTGAGAAGTTGAGGTAAAAACTTTCTTGTTGG